AACCAAGCCAGAAAAGCTGTCTATTCATCTATTGGAGGAATAGTCGGTACCATACTTGTCTGGGAGAATGAAAACGTTAAATATGTAGTACAAACGCGAGCTTATCATGTAGATGAAATCACATTTAAATGCTTCTGGAATTTAAAATAAAATAGAGTACGTGGCCCATTTCGCTAGGTGTTGAACAACCAAATGCTTTCCGCTCTTTGCTTACGGTACGTTCTGGTCTCATCGTGGTTTAAGTCTCAGTTATCTTTCTGTTGATCAAGATCCTTTAATTTCATCTGTTCTGCTTTTATTACTCCAGGTGATCTGCGCAACATTGCGACAGATGGCTGTGAGAATAAACTTACTCGTGAGATGGTCTTGACCCGAGTCGCGCAACGATGCCGGTCACTTTGTATTCCGGTCTTCAATTTCAGTTTATAACATGTTCTTCACATGTGTAAAACGAAACATTAAAAAGAAACTGTTGAGCAACTACTGGGGTCACTCGCGGAGGCTTGCCGGTCTCAAGAGATCAGCTGTAGATCAGCTGGTCTGAGCGGTGTACACCGACAAAGAGGTGGTAAGGGTTAATCGCGGGGGACATGAGAGGCCACCTTAGATAGAGGGAAAGGGATTGCGCTTGAAGGTTCCAATGAAAGGGCTCCTAATGCCATCAGTGCTCCGGCGTTCTACTGTTCCAGCGCCCCAGTGTTCCATTCCAGCCTCAGCGTGCATTAGTGGCAGCATTGTGGTGGGAGCTGTTCTTGATTTTGTCTGTTTTAAGAAAACTTCTGTTGCAGTGCTTTTCTCTTACGTACAGTTTGAAGATTAATCCACTGTCCTGTGCGAACCGACCTTATAATGACTTCACGTCGTTATTCACTAAATTTAGTCTCAGCTTACAAGTCGGTTGAATTCACTCAATCGATACGCGAGACTTTGTGCGCAGACCTCTTTATCTGTAGGCCCATCAAGAGGCTGCGCTTTTTTATAAACATACCCTCACTACTCATTTCACTTGCCGTTCACGCCATTTACCCTTTTATATAGTTCACTTGCACTTTTTACATGTATTCTATTCCCGCAACTTTTTCTGTTGTTTTTGTCTACAGTTTGCTTTATCTGTATTTCCATGAAAGACTGTACTTTCTTTCTCATGACTGTTTCTCATGGCTCACCAATAGGTCACTTACCCTTCTTGAAAAGATTAAGCCATCAACAACTTTTTTGGGTGTCTTGTACAAAACACTTCTTTGTTGGTGCTCAGTATAAATACCCTGCGCAAATATTAGGTCGGTCCATAAGTCTTGCAACAAATTACATTTAATGCTATAGAATTTTAGGGAGAACTCCTGAAAATCCGCAACATATTTCCTGACGTAGCATCAACCTTTGCAATTTCAGCCTCACTTTGCCGAAGATGAGGAGTGGGTACAGTTGCTAACAAATGAACAAGCGGCGGTAGTCCAGCTCAAACGCTTCGGGAATCTTACTGCTCAAGTTCAACCTCGTCCAAGTAGGGCCTTCTCGGATTTTTGGTGGAACACGGGAGGAGTTAAGCTCTGGAAACCCCTACGTGTAGATGTCGCAGTCAACGCGAAAGTCAACTATCCACAGCTCGAATGCAACGCTTTTAATACGAAAGAAAAACAAGGCAAAGTTTGCTCTTGTATGACACCGTGTTGAACCACCCTTTGCTAAAAAAATTCAGAAAAATTTGAGACTCTAGGACGGAGAGTACTTCTGCATCCTCGTTATAGCCCTGATCTCGTGCCAAACAATGCCCTTCTGCACTCCTCTCCAAACCATCTTCCAAAAAAGAAAGCTCATCCCAACTATGATGATGT